ACAATACGCTATTGTACAGAAAAAGACATTGTCTAGCGGACAGATTATAGCAAACAAAAGAATGTCCGTTTACGTGCGTAATTTTTCACAGTTTGCGTTATAAACGTCTTGACATCTGATCAGATCATGTTTAGGTTTTTCTAAACAAACAATACAAAAAACACAAACATTAACGATTTTAAATGATGAATTTTAGAAAACAAGACACAATTACTAAGGAAACATTTAAATAAAAAAGTGTGAAAGCATATCACACTCTGACATACATTGTTCTATAGAAGCGCGAAAATATGAATATTAAGAAATTATTGGTGTAGAAATATTCGCGCTAAACATGAATTCGCGGATCGAATGACACCGCGAAGATCGCGAAAATTTGAAGCCCGCGAATATTTCTACACATACAGTATGCCTTTATGATAGGCAAGGGTGTGTATACATTAACGGTTAACAATAGCTTACAGCGGTGGCTCCGAACGCATAGCGATGGCGGTTATGCCTTTACGATAGGCAATGGTGTTTATACATTAACTGTTTACAATAGCTTAAAGCGATAGCTTCTACAATAAGGGGTGGAAAGCAAAAACGATGGGTTTTTTACACATAGGCAATGGTCTTATACATTTAAAGTTTAACAATAGCTAAAAGCGATGGGTTCTACAGTAAGGGGGGAACGCATTTGCGTGGGGGTTATGCCCTTTTCGTGGCATTGGAATTTTTTCATTAACGGAAAAAGTTAAGCGATGGCTTTACGTAAAAGGCCCCAAGCATAGCTATGGCGGTTATTCCTTTACGATAGACAATGGTGTTTATACATTTACGGTTTACAATAGCTTAAAGCGATGGCTTCTTCAGTAAGGGCCGAACGCGTAGCGATGGCGTTATGCCTGTACGATAGGCAATTGGTGTTAATACATAAACGGTTAACAATTGGTTAAAGCGATGGCTTCTTCAGTAAGGGCCATATGCATAGCGATGGCGGTTATGCCTTTATGATAGGCAAGGGTGTGTATACATTAACGGTTAACAATAGCTTACAGCGATGGCTCCGAACGCATAGCGATGGCGGTTATGCCTTTACGATAGGCAATGGTGTTTATACATTAACTGTTTACAATAGCTTAAAGCGATAGCTTCTACAATAAGGGTCGAACGCAAAGCGATGGCGGTTATGCCTTTACGATAGGCAATGGTGTTTATACATTAGGCCTAACGGTTAACAATAACTTAAAGCGATGGCTTCTACAGTAAAGGCCAAACACATAGCGGTGGCAGTTATGCCTTTACGATAGGCAATGGTGTTTATACATTAACGGTTAAAAATAGCTTAAAGCAATGGCTTCTACAGTAAGGGCCGAATGCATAACGATGGCGGTTATGCCTTTTCGATAGACAATGGTGTTAATACATTAACGGTTAACAATAGCTTAAAGCGATTGCTTCTACAGTAAGGGCCGAACGCATAGCGATGGCGGTTTTGGGTTTAGATAGGCAATGGTGTTTATTTATTAACGGTTAGTAATAGCGATTAAGGTTAAGACTTAACGTTTCAAAACATTTATCAGCTATTTTGGCTTTCACCGTCTTAATAAAAAAGATCTGGTTTGTTGGATTGGTTATTTTATGAAGAAAGAGAAAAGAAGAAGAAAAAAGAAAATGCTTTGTGCTTTCGCCTTTAATGTTTTAAATATAGTTAAAAGTGGCGATAAATAGTCATATCGATTGTATGTGTTCTAACATACGACGTCACCTTAGTGCATTAATGATTTAACTCCTATATAAATATACAAGGAGTAAACTTTTTAATGCTCTAAAATGACGATGAATACATTTTAAAGGTTTTATTACAGGTTAGTACATTCTGTGTCAGTGTTTGAAATAGAGGTGAAGGTTAAATTATGTAAAAGGCAGACGAGAATAAGAAAAAAATCACAGTCTAGTCTAATAAATGTGTCGCAGAAATCGTGACAAATTTAAGATAATCACAATATAAAAATAGCTCAGATTATACGTACGTTACGTAACAAAACATAAAGGAGCAGCGTTCGCATGTATAGTTATTCCTTATTTGCAATTTTCAAGCCAGTTTGCTTATCAGATTATTAGCTCGTCTCTTTGTCTGTCGCCATCCCCATTCAGTTCGTTAGCATCTAGTGGTCACATTTTTGCCTCAATTGCCACCAAACTTGGTCAGGATGTTTGTCCCAGTGGTCCCAATGGTTCTTCGGACGAGTTCGAACATGGTTCATTTCTGATGAAAAGCTAGGTAACAGAAGCCAGAAAATAAAAAATCCTTGTTAACACTCTAGACGGTCCAAATATCCTTTAAATTGGTCAGAAAGTCAAAGAAGTCCAAATATAGGTCATCTAGGGTCATATGGGGTCAAAACCTGGGTCACACAGCCCAAATATGGCATAACATTGTAAGAATTCTAGAGCCAATGTTACTGGAATTTTTTCAGAAAAGTTGTTTAGATGATTTCTAGTTCAATTACGAATATGGGTCATCTGGGGTTCAAAACTAGGTCACACAGCCCGAATACGAAAAAAAACTGTGTTGTCCAAATATAATGAAAATTTGTCAGAAAGTGGTTTCTATGTTTTTAGGACAATTTCGAATACAGATCATGTTTGGTCAAAAACTAGGTCAAACTTTAGAGTTGTAATACTATGGCAGGGTGTCAGTATCAACCAAATGGTTACATAAAACACAAATTTATACACTTGTCATGTTGCTGTTTTGTTTTTGTTAGCTCATACTTGTGACGTCATTTTGTTAATTTCAGATTTATTTTGTTGTATTTATAGTTATCCTGGCCTGCTTATTAGCAATATGCAGTGCGTCTCATGGAAACATTTCGCAATATCTGGATACTGGTATGTAGAACTATCTTATTTGTTCGCATGTGCATATTTTTTTGATAAAAAAATGAGAATTCGAAAAAAAAACTTATAGCAACTTATAACAATAACAAGTAAGTAACTACTAGCAAAATATTTTGACATAGCCAGACAAAATATCTCAGAACCTAGATTTGGTACGTCGAATTATTTTGGCTACTGTCTAGTCCGCAAAGGAATGCTTAAAGGACGTGACAGTTCTATTCTATTTATAGATGATACTCTGTTCTAATTATAGATGATACTATGTTCTATTTATAGATGATTGTTCTATTTATAGATGATTCTCTGTTCTATTTATAGAAGATACTTTGTTCTATTTATAGACAATTCTCTGTTCTATTTATAGATGATATTCCAGTTGGGCCATTGTGTTACAGCTGCAGTTATTTAACCGATCCGAGAACTTGTGGCACGCAAGTTCGATGTGGGAGGGATGAGGTATAACTAAACTAACCCCCAACCACCCCCGACCCCTTCACACCCCACATCTGTTAATTTTTCATATTGATCTGAAAAATTAGCTACTGGCCCACAATTCCGCATAGAAAATTGGTCAATTCTCAGCTGCCATTGGTCCGTTATTGACACATTTAACTTAACTAAGGATAGTCAAATTACGATTGTTCGATAACAGTGCACGGGAATTGGTAAAATGCAATTGATTACTCGTACATATTCTCTCATAGAAAATCAAGTTTTTTGCGCACTTTTCTTTTGTAATTACTTCAATCTTTTGTACCATATGAAATAATCACGTTAGGCGTTCAAATCTATCCTTAAAGAATCAACAAGAAATTAAAACTCATCCCCGCACGAGTTGATACTCCTAACACGTGATTGGGTTTTTAAACAGAACATTTATGATACGTGTTTTATTACTAAAGCAATGTAGCATGAAACACGTGTAAATATTATAATGACACGTGTTTTGTTATCATAACAGATATGTATGTTGCACGAGTTAATGCCAGGAGCAGACGGTAGCAAGAGGTTTACGTCCCACTGTGAAACAGAAATAGTAAGTGTGTTTTTGCACTTCTTCTTTGCATTTCTTCTTCTTTGCAGTCACGTGACTTACTTTCGGGCTGTCACATGACGTATTTTCAGATACCTTTTTTTAGACTGTCACATGGTGTAAATCCAGATAGTTTTTCGAAACTGTCAAATGAGGTACTTCCGGTTAGCTTTTCTATGCTGTCACATGACGTAGTTCCGGTTAGCCTTTTCTAAGCTCTGACATACGGCGTTCTTCCGGTTTAAAAGCGGAAATAGTTGTTATGTCTTTGCACTTTTTGGTTTGAATTTAACTCACTACAGTGTTGAAGCATTGCAGAAATCATGATCACTAAGTAGAAAAATATCGCTTTTTTTTTCGCCGATTCTTACCTTTTCAGTCATTAACTTATATACATCGGTGTGAAAAAAAAATGAAAAAGCCGTTTTAAAGGTGAAAATGCGATATTTTAGCATGTAATCATTCTATGCGTCTTGTCCGGTATATACTGGAAAACGGTTTTTAGTGTGATGCGCCAACACATTTTTTTAGCTTTACAAGGCTCTTCCGATTTTAGACTAAGATAATCGGTTTGTCTTTCAACATACTAGTACTTGGCGGTCGCATGGCGTTCTTCTGATTTTGAAAAAAAGGAAAAATATGGATCTGTCTGTTTGCTTTATCATATATCTGGTTTTGAAACGAAAATCTTTGGGCAATCAGCAGAATAACTCTTCAGCTAAAATAAAACACGAGCTAGCCATTAGGGAATTTCTGAAATTTGATGATAATGGCCAAAAATGCGTATTTAGCTTTGAATAAGACAATGTGATCGGATTGTGTGGTTTTTCTTATTGTGTTAATTTTTCTTCAATATAAGTTATTTATAATTTTTCTGAAGGTATGTCAAAATTTGAGAAATCACGCTAAAAAGAGCCGCACGTGTTTTGTCATATAAATTGAGCTGCAAGCAGGAAAATTTGTGTAACAATCATGCGGAAGTTATACGCCCCACTTTGCCAAGTGAACCACCCTACCAAGACCGAAACAAAACCCAAAATAACATGTAAGTGATTTTTTCATTTGTACAATTCTAAGCTATTTTGGGGTGTCCAATCGGTTAAGTCCGATAAATTCCCCGGTGATGTTTCGTTTTATTTCTAAAGCAAGCGTAGTAACGGAAAACGCTCAGATTTATAACTTCGCCGCTTGGAGCAAATTTTTGTGATTTGTTAAAAAATTGAATTATTTGAAATAATAAAGGCATGAAAGATGGCGCTTATCCATTAACCAGTTTAAAGATTTCCGGACTTGTCGTCTGATTTATGGAAGATTGATTTTCGTCACGTTTTTGGCGCATATGATATGTATGACGTTCTTTGTTACAATTACGTCACAAAGAGATTCAAACGAACAAAACAAGCTTTTTCATGAGACTCCCTCACACTTGATATTCATTTGAGCCGCGTCACGACAAAACCAACATAATGGGTTTGCGACCAGCATGGATCCAGACCAGCCTGCGCATCCGCAGGGCTATCAGTTTCTCTTATTGTTATAGGGTTTGTAAGCGAACAGCATGGATCCTGATCAGACTGCGCAGGCTGGTTTGGATCCATGCTGGTCGCAAACCCATTATATTGGTTTTGTCGTGGCGCGGCTTATTTTATATTTCGCCAAATGAAATACAGTGATATCTATAATTGAATTATTTCCTTCGAAACGAAACTCAAAAAAGATAACTTTCCTCCGATAAAAAAAAAACCGTCCCCCGACAACACAGCCCGTTTCCAACAAAAAACCCCCAACCAACAAACAAACCACCAACGAAAGACAACACCCAAAAAACAAAGACAATTCAACAACCCAACAAAAAACACAAACACGTAGTTGTTAATATTATACATAACCCCACATATAAACAGAATCCATAACTTGTGAAACTAAATTTTATAGGAAGCTTTTAATATATATTTCAGTTTATTTACTCACTAGCGTCCGTCTCAGTCGAAGTTTTTAAAGGGGCCTTCAGCTATTTTCTATTAGCAGAACAGTTCTGTGTTGTTTCAATCTAAGTATTTCAGTAATGTAACCTGAGAAAATTCTTTTATATGAAGCTTTTAATATCCATTTCGGTAATTTACTCATTAGCGTCCGCCTCAGTCGAAATTTTAAAGCGGCCTTCAACTTTTATTTTCTGTTGACAAAGCACTACTGTGCTGTTTCAATCCAAGTATGCCAATAATTTAACCTGACAAAAGTGCATCATATCACTGTTAAACATTCTTCAAAACAGAGCCCCGAAAGCTAATTAAAGCGTGCAGTGAATCTAAAAATAGATTGGGGAACGATTCGTCCGATTTACGAATTTATTTATAGATTCCGGTAAATTTACAGACTATTTACCATGTTTTCGCCAGTATTTTCCGAACGGGATCAAATGCGAGCTATTTGACATCATTTCCCCCGGTATTTGTGGAATAGGTAAACCATGTGCTATTCCATATCAAACATCAGAACTTAAAATTAAAAAAAAAGATTTTCGTTGTGTTATTACAGATCACGTAAATTATCCAATTATGTGTTACTCTTGTGAGGAAACATTGGATCCAAAATCCTGCAGACACCTAGTGACTTGCCAAAAAGGATTTGTATGTATATTTGCTTGTTATAATTACCAAAAAAATAGTTTCTTAGATATTTTTTAATGTTCTTTCCTTTGCGACAGTTTTCTTCTTTATGCGCTTTACATGTATTTACTACTATTAAGCTACTGTATATTCAGACATACTTGGCGTTCCATAACAAAGACAGATAACATGTACTTACGTGCACACATATTAGGACGAAAAGAGTCCTGCCTAATGAACTTTCTATAAATAGACAAGTGCTCTCTTCTAGAACTCAAATGAACAGAGTTCTACATAAAAAGAGTTATTGTAGTTTTAAGTATAAAAATGTCGCTACCTGGATGTGTTAAAAGAAAGTTATGTGGGTTTTTAGTATATATTAACCTAATATGAAATTAGGCAAAGTCTATGAATGGGGAAGTCAAATACAAAAACGTTCAATTTTAATTTAAATTCACATTTTTCGTTTTAAAGGTGCAGTTCGGTATTTCATGCATCACTTCCGTTTTTCAAGGAACACCTCGACGATTATTCTTAAACCGAAAAGTTGCGATTGTTCTGTTATCGGAATACCCCGCCGTTTATCATTAAAATAACATTAAAAATGGCACCCCCACAGCAAGAAATTATACTGAAATTTCAAAGATAGGTATCGAATTCTCCCTATTTTTTATTGTTTTTATTTGATTTCCTGTTCAATATACACGTGTAGTCTATAGCCGGGCAAGACAAAGGCTCGTGCCCGCGAATGACTTCCTGTACAAGTATTCAAAACAAGTAAAATGGTTCCCTGCGGTGAACATTTTAATGATATAAAGATATTTCATTTAACTATTTTCAACATTATTTGGGGGTAGGGGGAATCAACGTTTGTATCTGGAATTTTGTTGACAATTGAATAAACGATATAGAAGAAGGTCTTTGGAAACTGGTGACCATTGAAGACCGGAGAAGGTCGAACATAAACAATTATTTCTTTTAAAGAAAATGATTAAATAGGACTACCATTATATGAATAATTCCGAGCAAAAAATAAATAAAGTAAACACACAAGTTTACGCAGAAAATATCTCTATTTATTATGGCAGATGGCACTACGCATATTTTAATTTTGTAGATTTTCACTGGGACATACTATAACTACTTATCGTATGTCCCAGATTTTCAGTAAAATTTGTGTAAAATTTGAGATAGATATCAAAGAAACATAGATAACTTTCAAACACATCTTTCAATTTTTACCACCTTAAACGGTAAAATAATTATGTAAAATTAGAAATATCACGTAATAGTTTTTTGTTCTTAATTAGGTGTAATTCGGACTAATTCCCTACAGGTAAATCCGTAACCGGCAAACGGTATTTTGCTTGGTTTTCGAAAAGGTCAATTAACCAATCGGTTAACAGATCACATGCTCCTCCATGTACCGAAAACAGGTCACGTGCTCCTCCATGCCTCAAAAGTTAAACGCGCAGGGAATAATGTACATGTAGTATCAAATTGCAATAGATTGTGTAATCTTTGTGTGAAAAGATCGCGTACATATATGAAATGAAAAAGGCAAATCCTCAAGCGAGCTCGATTTACTTTTACTGTGAAATAGTATAAAATAATTTTTATTTTACATTTTCCGTTTTAAAATTGCCATTCGGTACTTAATACACTGAATGCATTCAAAATAAGCGTAAGTAACGGACAGATACGAAGTTTTACGGAAATTGACGAAGTTTGCCGAACTAGTACGAGCGATTGATGAATGACATAATTATCTATATAATTTTATTGTTTTAAAGGGTTGCATGTTACAAGCGGTTGGACACAACGCGGATTTGCAAACAGTATACAAATCTTCGTGTGAACCTGACTGGGTAAAAATATTTACAAATTTTGTAACGGTTATTTATGCATGGCAAAAACCTGATACCATACAATTACTTGTCTAAAATTATAACTAAAGTTCGGCAAAATTATTACAAAATCATATCTTGTGACCGTTGGTTTTTAATCATTAACTGCTGCCACGAATAGCGACAGAGTATGTGTGTGTATTTGCGTTTATTTATACTCGCCACCGATTTGCACATATGGGCGAGTCCCATAGAGTGTTAGTCATTTTAGATTTTGGAGAATAGTGCAAGATACAGATACAGAAAGATGTCCCAATTCTAGAAGCTTCTCTGGCTTTTTAGCTTGCCAAGTGTTTTAGCACTCATACAGGGAACCTCGAATAAATGTCTCATCCAAAAGACTGATTAGTAATTTTAGTTGGCAAGCCTGGGAATCGAACCCATAATATCGAGATTACAAATCTCGCGTTCTACGGATCGAGCCTTGCAGACTAGCTTATATGCTAATGAACAAGTGGGCGTTGATTTACATACCATGATCACGTGTGCATCTAAATACATTCTTTACTGGCACCTTGGTAGAATCATGACCGTATCACTTCCGGTAAGAATCGGTTGGTGAGCATTCAAGGGCAAGATATTTGACGTAGGTGACTTAAACTACCGTGCTATGCAGGCCCAACCATAAATTCCTATTACTTTATTCTTCAGCTTTGTAACAGAATGCCCCACTCCTCTGATGAATTGATAGGGAAAAGAGCAGGAACACCGGAGGTGGCAAAACGGTCTAGCACATGCAACAAATGCTGTCATCAACATCTGTGTAATGGTCACTGTGATAAATCAACACAACATGTGTCACAACACCACACAACACCAACCCCCATACCAACAACCCATAAAACAACAACACACACCAGACCGACGACTACGAATACATTTTCAGCGACGCCACTTCATGTTAAAACACATGCACCTACTTTCGCGCATGCGCAGCCAACTGTACATTATAAGCGTAAGTTAACAAATATCAAATAAATATTGCAATTTCTTTCATTTTATACTTTGGTATTTACATACCACGCGATGAAAATAAATCCAGTAGCCACTGTCACTTTTGAAATATTTATTTTCATACCACTTGATAAAATTATATCCCGTATTTATAGAAAAACAATGAATTTTCTGTTAATTATATACCTTTTCTCTCTTTTCTTACGTTATAATATGAAATAATTCCGTTCTAATTTCGAGTTGGCTGAATTTTAAAGGAAGAAGTCCGACAAGACACCAGTGAAAATACGGAAAATATGTTTCACTGTAGTGAAAAAAAATATATTTTTTACAGCGAAAATATGGAAAAGGAAAACATGCATTTTATTTCATCAATATTTCTCAAATTTCATTTATTTGTACATTAATAATACTATCCCAGGAACCATGGGTTCGAGCCCTTCTTGGGTCACGGCCATGTTTCTTCATATATAATTATGACACCAGTACTGGTTGGTTCCAGGAAGCGGACTCAAAAATGATTAATATAAGTTCCAAGAACTTGTTTCGCAATCGAGCTTAAATAAATATGTTTAAACCATTACTATTCAATCAGGATTTTACTCGTTTCAGATGAAAACTGTATAAAGCACAATTTCACCAGTATCCCGTACATCAACCTGTGTTTTAAACTAGAGACGGTCTCTTTAAGCTGGACGGTTGCTGAACGCTGGTGTGGATTCTACGGGGCTACATTAGCAGTGCTGGACGAGCCCGGCAAGTTCAGTGTCGTTGAGACGGTCCTTAGATATGAACCCCATTGTAAGTGCATTATTTTTGACCGAAATTAAAAATTTAGATGGACGAGGGTCAGGGAATTTCATAGCACGTTTATTTTTTGCGCATGTCATCAGGAAAGGGAACATTAAAAGCTTGAGAAATAGTGATTAAAACATTTTTGAGGCATAATGAGCCTTTGAAGATTCTTTGTAGCAATAAAAGGAGGTATACGTTTGGGTGAACGGAGTGGACGATCGATTCTTTTTCTCATTACAGGTAAAATATTTCATAACAAATAGAAGGAGCTTTCTTTTATCGAGCTTGGAATGTTTTTACTAAATTTGCACTCGATTTCACGTTAAAACATTTTTGTTAATATTTTTATTTCCAGTTCGAAACGAAGTCGTTTATACCGGTGGGCATGATCAATACGGAAATGGTACCTTTTACTGGCCGCACCAACGACTTCTTTCTTTAGGAAGTTGGTCGGGTTTGAACTTCCAACGTTCAACGGGAAAGTGCATTGCTCTGGATGGGACAAACGGATTCCGAATGGCTTTTGTTGACTGTGATAAATATAGAAAGTTTATTTGTTCAATAGATACGTCATAACAATAGTAATTTTATACAACAAAAAATGCTTCAGTTTTTACATAATTAATGTGTTAAAGCTGCATGTCTCCAGATGAGCCAAAATATTTCAAGAAAATTCAAACTTTAAAAATTCACTAAGATTTTAAGAAAAGTGAAAAAGATTCAAGATCAAAGTAATAATTAACATGTTATGTGCGATTTATGGCCCATTTTGTAGCACTTATCATGATATTTCTACAGCGTGACTAACGCAGTAAGAACTATTTTTGGATAGTTTGACATCTTTTTGGTAATTTACGTGGACTGTTCACTTGTCATAAGTATGAATCGGGAGGCATGCTGCTTTAATATGTAAGTCTATTGATGCAATCAGATATGCATAAATTTATGATTACCCACATTGAGCACCATACATGCGTTTCAGGGAATCATATTCAATAACGAACTTCTTGTTACATGAGATTCTTACAACAAAATATAATCATCAAGGAACGACAACTGTGTTATGGGAATTTCGTATGCAACAACTAAAAAAAACAACATTTTCCCGAGGGATAAGATTTTAATAATTGTGAGAATTTAAGGTTTTCACGAAATTGAATGGTCCTTAAGTATATGTAAGTAGAAAATCGCGGATAGCTTTCTAAATCTTTCCAATTTATCCGAAATGTTGATTTCGCGAAAATTGTGGCATCGCGGAATGATTTAAAAATTTAAAAAATGACTTTTTTTAAAATTTGATCCTGATGACAACATAGCTAATATGAACCACTCTAAAGTCCGTTTCTCGGAACAAATCCGTACCACTGTGATTATCAAGACCGATTAGGTCCCCGGGTTTAGAGGCAGACACCTTAACCATAGGCATCTCTCCGTTATCTAGTTATTTCAAACTTCAATACCACACAATATAACTTAGGCATAACATTTATAAAATGCATATACTCGTTTACATGTATAAACATAGGATAAGCCTGAACTACAACTGCGAGACAAGAAAACCACTGAGAAAAAGCCCTTATGTTTCTTCATTTAAAAGGACTGTGTAGGGAAATTATAAGTCCTGTGTTTTAGGCCATAACAATTTTATAATGTAAGCATGACCCCACACTCACCCCCATCTCCAACTATATGATATCATCTGTTCAACGAAAGAAATAAACTATAGAACAATACCATTTATATGTGAACAACTGCTCCGTACAGTCAACATATTTTTTCATAACAAATAACGTTCCGCAACTCTTAACACACTAATAAAAGAAGGGTAACAAGAGTTGTCGTTCGTTGTCCCGCCATTATGAGAGAGTAACATGTGTCAGTGTCACATTTGCAATAATGTGCCAGCCTTGTTCTAAATAAAGATCGATTATGAAATTTTCTCACAATATAAGTACTGAAAGAAATAGCTCTACAACAAAAAAAACAGACTATAAACCGAAATCACATTTAATATTTCGTGAACTTGAGATGCCTTCATTTTATATTCTTATTTAAATTTACAAAGTAAATTTATGAAAAAAAAATCCATAATATTTATGTGTGTAAAACATATTTAGATCTTCTATTTAGAGGTTATTTTTACGATTTCATCAATTAAATTCCAATCCGCTATTTGGACTAAACACTACAGTGATGTTTTTTTAGGTTGAATCATGACAGTGATCCAAGTGGAGCTCAAACTTGGGTTACCTAGGTAGAAAGAAACCTTAGTGTCAAACTTTATTGGGCCTCATAATTATTCACTTTATTACGTCACTATGTCGTTCTATGAAGTACTATGAAAAATAGAAGTCGACTATGAACGGAATTCGATATAGTATCTACTTCTGTTCTTCTATGAAAATTAACGCAAAGGATTTTTTAAAAATACAGCGTTTTCATTGGATATCAAATAAAGCTGGACACTAAAACATAAGCTTTTAGTCAAACACGACACTCATCTTGTCCCTGAATGCCTTACACTCAAACCAGGTGTATAAAATATTATGCATAATATGCATATTAGCTATTAAAGGCTACATATATTAAATAATAATATAAGACATATTTACATAAACATGTACACAAACTAACATAAAAAGCCATTTTTTCGTCCATCAACATTCGTTTCATTTCTGCACAAATTTCAAATTGTCACGGCTTGCACATCTTATATGACGTCATCTACAATTTTCATATCGTCACAGCTTGCACATCATATCATAAATGATGTCATCTGCAATTTTTTAAATCGTCACTGTTTGCACATCATATCATATATGACGTCATCAACAATTTTAAAATAGTCACTACTTGCACATTATATTATATATGACGTCATATACACAATTCAAAATCGACATTGATGGCACATTGTGTTATATGACGTCATCTTGACATCTACTTTTCCTATATTATATCTTTTAAACTTATTAAGAATGAATCATTTCCGGTCAGTAACCGGACCAGCCCTGCTCCATCGGTGTATACCGTAACTCTTGCACCATACTATCACGTGGCAGTGCGAGCTCATGTGAACGGAAGTGACGTGGACTTGCCATCTCTACCCATAAATCCGTCTGATGCAAACTTGATGATGGCGTCGATGATCTGGAAAAAATAAAGCATCGAAATTCAAATTATAATTATTATGACAGCTGACATGCAGTTTTGTTAAAAAAGAATTTGATGAATTTCAAAAAGAAAGCCCTCAAAATTAACCATATGAAATATGACCATTTTGCAAGTCATTCAATATTTATGATAAAAATACTGCTCAAAAGAAATTACAATACCAGTCTCGGTAGAAATTAGGTACGAATTACAGTGCATATTACAGTAAAAAGATGAAAAGCAGTTTACAGTACCAATAACGTACATAATACGTACGAAATTGCAAATCAGGTAACAGTATTAGAATATTGTTCAGATAACAGTCGATATTACAAAAAAGATTAAAGTATCAATTAGATACAGAATACTGTGCAGATTATGGTCGAAATTACAAAACAGATTACAGTATCAATTAGGCAAAAATACTGTACAGATTAAAGTTGAAATTACAAAACAAATTACAGAACCAATTAGATATTCAATACTGCGTAGATTACGGTCGAAATCACAAAACATATTACAGTACGAATTACGTACAGAATACTGTGCAGATAACGGTCGAAATTACAAAACAGATTATGTACAGTACCAATAACGTACATAATAATTTGCAGATTACGGTCGAAATAACAACCAGTTCGGTACATAATGCTGTGTAGATTACAGTCGAAATTACAAAACAAAATTACAGTACCAGTTTGGTACATAATAATTTGCAGATAACGGTTGAAATTACAAAACAGATTACAGTACGAATTACGTACAGAATACTGTGCAGATAACGGTCGAAATTACAAAACAGATTACAGTACCAATTACGTACAGAATACTGTGCAGATTACGATCGAAATTACAATACAGATTACAGTACCAACTAGATACATAATACAGTGCAGATTACGGTCGAAATAACAATACAAATTAAAACATAATATAAAACAAAGATGACAAAATTTCAATACAGATTACAGTACGGATTGCAGCAGAAATTACAGTTAAAATTAAGGTAAATAGCAGATGTTATTCATGTTTATGAATTGATATGAAAAATTGTCGATTCAGATTAAAAACAAATAAAAACAAAATAGGTAAACAATGACTTTACCTTGTGCTTTCAAATGGAAATGGTGACTTCCGCTTCTGTTTCTTAAGCAGATGGAATGAATAACACAGTAAAGAGATGAGCAAGATGCAGACGACAAGGAGAATAATGAGCGCGGCAAGATACGGCAAGATGCTGGAATACCACGTGGTCATCCGCTCTACGTCGTCCGTACCATTACGGCCACCTGAAAAAAAACGTGTTGTATTTCTTTATATTTTGTAAATGATTTTTATTACACCTATGGAAAGAATTCAAAGTTAAAATGTGGTGCACTTTTTCGTTTGCACCTAGAATATCAGCTTTAAGGAACTCCACTGAGGTCTAAAAGCCTAAAAACATAAAATTTGAATTTCTTGCATAGATGAGCAGAGGCACTTAAAACAGAAAGATATGCAGAAGATAATTAAGAAATACACTCAAAAATAAATTAAAAATCGTATTTTTGTGATATTCTTAGCCAAATTTGAGTGAAAAGCCGTCTTGGTCATTTGTAACAATTAAAATATCTACCATGGAAAAACGAAATAAGCGAATGATCTGAAATTTTATTGGTCTAAACATATATCAAATGGAGCATTTATCTCGAAAAATTATATCCGGTCCCGTCATGTCAAAAAAAACTCAGTTGAGTCTCTTTAAATCTTTTAATGTTGAGTCTCTTTAAATCTTTTAAACAATTTGTAAATTGAATCTCGACAATGTGGGACTTACTTCATTGTGAAATCGTAGTAAAAAAAACTAGAACTGTACTTGCGTTATTTCATATATCTTTGTATATTTCGAAAACCAGAATATGGTATACGACAGATGTTTATGTCAGTTATGGTGTTCCATAAGGACCATCGTTTTTATCGTCATTTCAAAATTTGATATATTTCTGGATTATTATTACGAGAAACGTATCCTAGACAATTCATTATAACCTGCTTCAATCAGTATTATTGGTCTCGTGCGCGCGTGTTTTGTTGCGTAAGCTTTTGTCAGCTCGGACAGCTGTTGATGATAAAACATAAATAAACTTTTAATATTTGGTAACATGTTGGTATTGATCCATTGGCAAGGGCGTCGTCATAATATAACTCAGATTTATGGTGTATCACAAATTACAATGAATCAGAATGCAAGCATCGATAGCCTATTTATTTGCATTACGCATATTTGTCATTTCGCTTTTGAAAGCGACGTTTCGCATTTCTAGTAAACTTTGAAAACGGAATCAGTCAATAATATGGTTTCTAAGAAATGGTAAATCATCGCAATGCCATCAATTTCTTTCTTCTATCTACATTAAAAGAAAAAATATTAACATCGCGTTTTTGTTTTTTTTTTTTTTTTTTTTTGCCTTTTCGCGTTAAAAAAAGACATTTTGCATTTCTAGTTTTTAATGTAAAATTAACACATTGTATTGATCCAGGAAAGGCGTCGTTCATAATACGAGTCACTCAGATTTACGATGCATTACAAAATCACAATGATTCAGAATACAAATATCTAATGATCGGTAGCGTATTTGTTTGCATTTCAATGGCATATTTGCCATTTCGTATTTAAAAGCGACATTTCGCATTTCTATTAAACTTTGAGTACGGAATCAATCAGTAGTGTGGTTTCTAAGTATGGTAAAATATTGCAATGTTTTATATTATGTACAATAGATTTGTAAAATATGTTTTTTTTTCTATGTACTTTTAATGAAAAGTCTTTACATTGGGAATGTTTGCCATTTCGCGTTTGAAGCGACATTTCGCATTTGTGGTTCACTTTGGAAACGGAATCCAATACTGATTACAGTTATAAGAAATATTAATTATTGCAATGGTTTAAGAGTCACATCAATTTGTCTTTTATGAACATCAAATGAAAAATGTCTACATTGCGAGTATTTACCTTTCAGCGTTTAAAGCGCCATTTCGCATTTCCAGTAATTGTTTATGCCGGCTCGCCACGGCGAGCCGGTATTACGGTAGGATTTTACTGAGAAACAACCTAAAACTCCGAAGCTATCCAAAAATTTAATCGAAGCTTGGCTTCCAGCTTTCTACAAAATTTATCTATCAGGGCTAGGATCCAAAATTATTTAGCCAATCAAATTTAATCTTACAAAGCGTCAAAAAACCTTCAATTTTCACGCCATTTTTAAAAATCAGCAAGTATTGTTTTGAGCGCAAAGATATAATGATGATTAAAATGTTTGTCTTTATGAATTCTTTTCAATAAATCATATTTACACTGACTTCTGATTTAGCGATTTCACCTGTTTTCTCTGTAGTAAGTTTTCGTTTGGTTAATTAACATAAGTGTACATCTGGTTCTGTGCATTTTATATTTTTCCTTTTTTCCGGTCATTTTATCCTTTCCGGTATTTAGTGTATGTATTTACTGGCCGGGATCCGGGACGCCCGGGATCCGGGATCAAGATATGGAGGAAAAACCTAATGAACTATATTTGTGTTGATTGTTGTCGTAATGAAAGGCCATTAAACGTTAATTTTTTATTGTATATAATGAACGTTAAATTAATTTAACTTATAATATAGATATATTTAGAGCTATTTATTAACAAACTTAAAATGCGGAAATCACAATACTTAATTATATGCCTAATTAATTGGAAAAATCAAAGACTATTTTCTTGAATTGGTCAAATCCCGGGATCCCTATATGTTTTAAAACGATCCCAGCTTTCTGAAAACTATATACTTGAACTGGCCAATCCGTGAGATCTATTTACATTTTAATACGATCCCGGCTTTTCTGAAAACTATATTCTTGAACTGGTCAATTCCCGGGATCCCTATATGTTTTAATAGGATCCCGGCTTATCTGAAAAACATCTTCTTAGACTGGTCAATTTCCGGGATCCCTATATTTTTAATAGGATCCCGGCTTTTCTGGCTGAATTGATTGACAACTTGTGTTTACTTTAGGACTTGTGCCTCTCATTCCAATACTAAATAACATACATGTATTACAACTTAATTTTGTATAAAGAGACATCTTTATGAAATCTACCTATCTATTATTTTGTGGTCAAGGTCAACAGGCCATATAGTAAATGTGCATAGACATAGGTTCTTCATTCAATCTGTTTACATGCACCTTCATATATACTCATACTCATCTTGGTTAAACTGAGAGAACTTTATATGTCACTTTCAGTCAATGAGTTTAAGATTTTGAATTTACTGGCCCGAATTCCAGTTTTGAATTTATTCTACTAAATAATTAACAAAATTTTCTTAAATTTACACTGGCCTGAACTTATATACACTGGCCATCGGGCACCGGGCCAGTGTTGACTTCACTTTTATTTTGATGTTCGCTGAAGTCTCTTCAGCTAACAGAACTGTCATTTTTACATTTAAACACACCCCTTGAAAAAAATTACGAAGCGAGTCGCTACTAGCTTTTTTAAAAGCTAACCTTGTACGAAATTTATAATACGTTTTCCAAGTCTTGTAAAGTAACGCAATGGTTTATTGATCCAATTTTTTCTCCTCCATGTCATGCGAGTATTTGCCTTTTCGTATTTGAAGCGACGTTTCGCATTTCTCGAAATTTTGATCCCGAAATAAAAATATGCTTCCTAGGTGTTGTGAATCATTGCAATTAAATATTTCTAATATTTGGGGTTTTTTACGTAGCTAATAACTAAAATGTATTTTTGTGCGCTGCTTTAATTTGTCATTTCGTGTTTTAAGCGATACTTCGCATTTCTACTCTTTTTGAATCCGAAAATGGTATGATTACAATGTACAGTAAGTAAATGACCATAATTGTGTTATAATGTATATCATTTTTATTATTATTTTATTATTTTGATATCATACATGACAACGAATTACGAATTGATGTCCAGTATTACATATCTATATAGAGCGAATAATAAAGTGTTCTATAAAGTTTTCTAGAACAAACTATTTTTCGCTATCAAATAAATGTTAAAATTAAATCATATAGAACCTTTTCAACATTTTTCATATTCTAATTATCTTTTTTCATTTTCTAATTACTAGTATCCAATGGATAAATTTCTATTGTTTTTATCGGTTTGAAAATATCGTGAAAAAGTTCCCTTTATGGACCAATCTACTTTAAAATGTATATTAAACCCTTACTTCATATATACGCGAAACAACGTACTTTTGATCCCCCCCCCCCCCTCTTTAAGGCCTCAAATAGTGAAAAAATGTCCTGTTTGGGCCCAAAACACATGTTTTCGTTTGAGAAATGTTGATAAAAAAATGAGCACTTTTTCGGCGCTGCCCCAATCCAAAAGGTACATCAGGGGGTTGCCAGAAGGGGGATGTGCCCCCTTTTGTTTGGGGGGGGGTTGAAGGGGTTGGTAGTCCCCCTCATCGCCAAGAAAATTTTGGACTTGTGAGACAGGTCGATCATAAAGCAACGTGTAACCAACGCTGAAAAGCCTTTGACTCTATCTGAATCCATTGAAAAGTTGCAGCACTTTGAAATCAATTTTGATGGAAAAACTCAATGCAAAATAGAGATTTTGGGCAATTTTGATATGTCCCCTCGTTGCCATGGTAACAGGAAATTTAAGACTGAGCATGTTGTTACAAAGGCAATTGTCTAGACAACATTTGTGCCAAGTTTGATTAGTATTGAAGAAGTTTTTATAGTTTTATAGCAATTTGAACTTGTAACGGGAGACTTTTCAGTTAAAACAGCCATTTTTCACAAAATGCTCATGAAGTAATGGATTAAACTTACCAGACGGTGTTGTTGGAGCGATTGTCGTTGGGCTTACGTATTCACATGTGGGAGTTGCAGCAGACCAGGTACCATTCTGTTGACACGTCAGCTCGTTTTCACCAAACAGTTTATGTGACGTGTTTGCTAGGCACGTGATTGTCACTCTGGTACCCGGCGTCGCTCGTATGTGCTGAGAACCAGCGATTTTATGTTGTCTATCGTAATAATGTCTGGCCGAGGTTTTGCCAGTTCTGGGCATAACACTGAAAGAAAAAATAGGAAGATTGTTTCACACAATGTGTAACCCTGGTCCTCATATCCCGGCAAAAGTGGAGAATACGGTGGCTGATTTGTGTCATGCCGTATATTCGCTTCGCGAGGTGCAAGACGAAGACACGAGGATACGACAAAGTGGTGACATTGTCGTATTTTCGTGTTTTCGCCTGGCGATCCTCGTGTCGAAAATAAGACTGGCGCTCCGCAAAGTGAAAGGTGAAAACACGAAAATACGACAAAGTGTTTTTGCCTTGTGTCCCGCGGAGCGAAAGTACGGCACTGTGGGATGGTCGTATTTCAAACTATTTTACCGACACAATTTCAACCACTTCCTCGAAAATGGGCGCCGGGATTACATTTGACGTCGGCATATCTAATTAAATATAAAATGTATTCGTCATTAAATGATAAATAGACATACAATGTACCATTCGGAACTGCCTCGGCTATTATCTATATTATCCGAAGACTGACGGAAAGAGCCGAGTAGTTGCGATTGACAATGTAGGTTCCATATGCTTCCAAGAAAAAGAGATACGCGAAAAGACGATAATAACCGTAAAGGGGCTTCTTTTAACTCTCTTTTTGTTTTTGGTTGAATGCTCCTCGGCGGCTCATTTTTTATTTCAGTTCATTTCTCCCCGTAAAAAGAATTGTGTGTCACTTTTTAATTTATCATAGTTTTTTTTTCTTTCTAATTTTCAGATATATAAAACGACATTTCAGGGCGTTGTCTCCTTTCAAATCCATGTTAAATTTCGAAATAAAAATGTTTTATAGGCTGCTTCGGGGCTTGAGATTATGTAAAATGTAATAACTGACATTTTTTACAATTTAATAGTCTTACATTGCATTTTGTGCGCACAGTAAATATGCCATATATTTAAAGTATACAAAAAATATAGCAATATGAGCTAAACAAAAATGAATTTTATACCTTCTTCTACGAAACCTGTTTGTCATTATTATACGAACATGAAGACTTGCAACATTAAATGTATATGCGTATCAATCAATCAATTTTATTGTACGTTTAAATACGTTATTAAAGGAGGTGCAAAAGCCTAAAACATTAATTTGAATTTCTTATATGTATAGATCTGTTGGGGCATTTAAAACAGAAACATATGTAGAAGATAATTTAAAAAAAAATACTTAGAAATAAATTGAAAATCGTATTTATTGACCTTTTCTTATACCGATTACAGTGAAAAGGGGTACAGCGTTTTTCAATTATATTAAGTCATTCTCCACAATCATTCCGGGCGAATGGTCTGAAATTTTACACATAAGTTATTGGTTTAAACCTACATTAAATGGAACATAGACATCGAAAAATTATTTCCAGTCCTGTCACGGCAAATGTTTCAGATGTTTTCCGGTTATATGACCCGATGTAAACGGTTGGTATATTACCATAGTCATTAGGTGACGGTTATATTGCAAACAACCATAGCCAATTTACTACAGTTATAACACTGGAAACAGCATTGGTGGCACTATACAATCAAAGCACAGAAGGCGCTGAATTTGTTTGGGTCTCAGAATGTCAGAAATGTGAAGGTTGTGAGATTATAAACCAATTTGTTTTTGTGTAGTGCCACCAATGCTTTCCAGTGTTTAACTGTAGTAAATTGGCTATAAGACTTATTGCAACACTGATATTCAATTCAATGTTTATTTTATTTATTTTTTTTTTTTTTTTGAAAAATGAGTTACCGCAAATTGGATTCGAACTCCAGGCCTCTCGATTCCTAAGCGAGCGTGCAAACCCCTCGGGCAAGGTGAAGTTATATATTAACGGCCTGAAGAAAACCATATTATTCTAAATTAGGGTTTGTAACTCTTATCCTGTTGTTTAACACAGATGTAAATAATCATGGAGCTAACTATAAGCATGTATATCTATAAAGAATAAAACAATATTAGGGAATATTCGACCATTCAGGAACTATTTTGTTTGAAAATTAATGCGCCTGTCATTTGGCAATCTTTACGCAGTGATCTCCCCTGAATTTTTCGGCGTTAGTGTACATATAAAGGGAAGTAACCGCTTCGAAAAAGCGGACTACTTTCGGCATTTGCAATTAACAGCATCAGGGTCTTTTATTCTGTGTATATGCTGAATTTAGAAGAAAGTAGTCCGGCAAGACAACAGTGAAAATAAGAAAAATATGTTTCACTGCAATGAAAAATAAATTTTTGCAGTGAAACTACGGAAAATGAAAATACCCATTTTATTTCATCAATATTTCTTATTATTTCATTTATAAGTATATATAATACATTACTTTATTTGCTTATTTGATACCATTTTTTTAATTCTAGAGAATTCAAAACTTTCAAATAATCGTATCGTATGAACATTTATGACTCTGGAGGCGTGTCTACTCAACTTTTAACTTAAATCTAATTTAATTATTGTAATTAAAGCCGTGATCTTCTGTGGGGAATGATTAGATATTCTCCAAACATTTATACATATATCTTCAAAGAATTTGTTTGTGGGAAAATTTATCCTAAACCCAGTTTGTTCGATTAAATACACCCATAAAAATAACAATAAAAATAATAAGAAATGGAGCTGCAAATCTATTCTAAGCCGAAACATATGGTACATATGACAATGGATGGTTGCTAAGTAACGCGACAGCTTGCCAAAGAAGGTAACTCAAATATTATAATGAAATTTGTTAAAACTACGGAGTAATGTTTGGGTCACAATTTTTGTCGCGTGTTGTCAATGTAAATTCAAATTTCTTGCAATGATAATATTATCAGATATAAGTTAAAATTATCATTGTTATGATTTTTTCCTGATTGCTTAAACATTTTTTCCGATCATATTGGATGTATACGTTAGTGTATAGGATCCGATTACACCGTTTCATCGGATATTGACGACCAATCGGAACATCTCGGCTATTATTAATAATAACCCCGGACTTAATACGGAATATCCGAAGTTTGACGACATTATTCGGTATAGCTCCGTCAATTTACGAAATCGAATAGAACCGTCTGTTTATTATTACTCTCCGTGATAATCTCATTAAAAAAGAAATAATATATCAAGAGAACAGGGATACAGTTACTAACTATTATGCGCGCAAATAAAATATTTATAGACAATATATTATAAATACGGAAATGAAATTTACATATGACGCAATAGTTAAAACAACACTGATATAAACTTTTGACAAAACGTTTTGTTGATCCATATATCATAAATTCAATCCTTGGCACATAACATTCATAAACAAAACGTCAAACATTATGATGAATGCATACCTGATCACTACACTGCGTGATCTTTAATTTGTCATTTTATTGCGTTGGGTTAATTTGGCTTATGTACCGCCCATTTGAATCAACTTTACATTAATGTGAGGAAAATTCAATGTCTTAAAAGCATTGAATTCAATGTTTTAAAAACATAGATACCAAAAGACAAACTTAAATTAAACATATATGTATACAACACTTTTATTATTTATATATTCTACCTTATAGTAACTTAATTAATTACTTTTTTATTTACTATACGTTATACATACATGTAATGTCATATTAAAATAATAAGTAATTAAGGAAATAAAAATACGCGTCCCGACATTTTGGTTGCTTCATTTTCGTAAATGAGGTTACAAAAAACACAACGTTTTGCAATGTAGATGTTTATGTACATGTTTGCAGCTTGATTAATACATACGTTTATTTAATAGAATAGTTCATTGTTATACATCATATAAACTATATTCCTACGTAATAGATAATGATTTATGCAATGATGCTGCTGATGATCATGATCGTTTTAAGTAATGATGATGATGACGATGATGATGATGGTAAGGTAGTCGTGATGATGATGATGATGATGATGGTGATGATGATGATGGTGGCGGTAATGGTTGTGGTGGTGGTGGTAGTGGTTGTGGAGATGATGATGATGATAATGATGATGATAATGATGATGATGATGGTAAGATAGTCGTGATGATGATGATGATGATGATGATGATGATGATGATGATGATGATGATGATGATGATGATGATGATGATGATGGTGGTGGTGGTAAGGTAGTCGTGATGATGATGATGATGATGATGATGATGTGGTAGTGGTGTTGATGAGGGTGCTAGTGGTGACGGTGAAAGTGGTGGTGAAGGTGCTTAAAATGATATTAATTATAATAGAAATGATAATGGTAATGATGATGATCTTGATGATAATGATGATGATGGTTGTGGTGGTGGTTTTAAAGTTGTTGGTATGTATTTTTTATAATAACGTTTTAGTGATGTTGATATAAAAATATACAAATGATGAAGTTGAGTTGAATATAAAATGACTTACCATTAGCCATGTATAATCCAAATTTTATAATTATATTTTAAATAAAACTGTATGTCCATTTCAAATAAAGTCTGAGTAACCGGGATGTATTTAATGCATTAATACCTATACACAGTTGTCTCGCGACAGCTGACTGACCTAACCACATTCTGAATCATGGTGTATGAATCTATAAACACTGGAACTACATAACAGATGAATTAAAGCAACATTCTCGTATATGGATAAATATTGACGTAGAATTCTAAGCGTGCGCCGCTCGCTAAACAAGTCATAATACGGAGGCTACCTAGGGTAAATAAGAGTAACCGCATCTTGTTAATCAAAATTTAAAGCTTTAGAGTAATCTAGTTTACATGTAGTTCCTTATCATCATCATCATCATCATCATCATCATCATCACTATAATCATCATCATCACTTCCAAAATGTGCTTCTCACAACTTAACATCAAGCTGTCGGTCCTTATTATTTGCATATACTCTAGAAGTTGTCGGCCCTTATCAATCAAATCTACATTCGTACACACAAAGTTGTCGTCCCTGATTATTTGCATATCTGTCTTTATTTATTCACAACTCACATCATTCTGTAAGCAATAATGTTATCACCAAACGGAAATAAAATCAAAACATTTTGACACTCCGGTAAAAAGGAATCATGAAAAATTGGCGAGGCATACAAAAAGACTGACGTCGAATAGAAACAATTTTTTTCAACGTTCTTGCCTTGTTAGAAAAACAAGTTTTCCCCTGATCATTACATCACATTAGAGGATATTCAAGTTTCTTCTATAAAAATAGAATTTATTTTCATCGAGTGGTATGAAAATAAAATATTTCACGAGTGGCAGTAGCCGAAACAAGATGAAAACAAATCCTGTATTAATTGAAAAAAAACAAGTTTTAATTTTCTGTTTATTATATACTTTTTCTCTTTTTTCTAACCTTATGAATAGAAGGAATTTCCTTTTAATTTTGTGTACTGGCTGAATTTAGGAGTAATTAGTCCGGCAAGACACCAGTGAAAGTACGGAAAATATGTTTCACTACAGTGAAATATAAATATTTACATAGAAAATACGAGAAATAAAAATACGCATTTTATATCATCAAAATTTTGTAAGGTCAATTATTTTTGCAATTCATGCATATGATAACACAGTGTATCAATATTGTACGGCATTCTTGGCCGAGTGGTTAAGGTTGTTGACTTCAAACCACTTGTCCCACGCCGCTGTGGGTTCGAGATGGCACATGTACGGAAGACGGCTAGGGTCATTTCATCAATTTAACTTCACGATTTAAGATTTTATCTTCATGACTTCACGATTTCAGCCTCACAAGAACACGAATTCACGATTTCACACGATAACACGAATTCACGATTTCACACGAGAACACGAATTCACGATTTCAGCCTCACGAGAACACGAATTCACGATTTCATACGAGAACACAAATTCACGATTTCACACGAGAACACGAATTCGCGATTTCAGCCTCACGAGAACACGAATTCACGATTTCAGCCTCACGAAAACACGAATTCACGATTTCACACAAGAACACGAATTCACGATTTCAGCCTCACGAGAACACGAATTCACGATTTCAACGTCACGAAATTAACTTCATGAATTCACGTTTTGAACTTCACGATTTCAACTTTATTAACTTCACGTAATCAAGATTTCAACTTCATAAAGTCAGCTTTACGAACTATAACGTTTTGAACTTCACGAATTCGACTTCATGAATTCATAATTTCAAATTCTTGATCGTGAATTTAAAAAGAAGAAATCGTGAGTTCATAGAGATGAACTCGTAGACTAATAAAGATTAAATCGTGATTTCATGAAAATAAAATCGTGACAACGTGAAATTGTGAAGTTGTAATCGTGAATTCATGAAGCTGAAATTGTGAAAACTTGAAATCGCGTGTAAATTAAGTGTGAGTTGAAAACGTGAAATCTTGAAGCTGAAACCGTGAGTTTGTGAATCTATTATGTCACCACCGGTTTTTCGTACATTTTGTCATGTGTTTGACAATATTTCAATATTTTATATAACAATATGACTTTTATATTTCGTAATTATTTAAATATCCCCTATACATTATATTAATATATCATACTCGATTATATTTATAACAAAACATGTAAACGAGAGCTATGTTAATCGAAGACTTGTTAATGCTAGCTTGATTGATATTGAAATAATTGAAAAAAAATGTGTCAATTAATTCAAATTTAATAAAGTAATCAGTTTAAACGGACTGTGTGTTTTACAAATTATGTCTGTACCAATTTTTTTTATTCTGTTATCTTTGCTCTGGGTACAAGTATTCATCACCAGGAAAGTTATCATCATCATCATCATCATCATCATCATCGTCATCATCATCATAATCATCATCATCATCATCCTCATCATCATTATCATCATCATCATCATCGTCGTCATCATCATCATTATCATCATCATCATTATCATCATCGTCAGCATCATCATCGTCATCCTCGTCATCAAAATCATCATCATTGTTAAAACCATCATCATCATCATCACTTTTTAACTACATTATTTTTATATTTCCCGTCTCCTTGCCATGGATGATGATGTATTATAAATGTGAAAATAGGCGGAGTCTAATTTTTTTGGATTTTGATCCGTCTTCATTTATCATTGACAAACATGAAACAAAAATCATCTCAAAATAATGTACGAAAAATGTTAAATAATTTAGCTTTTCAACCTATACGTTAATGTTTGGTATTGTATTAATCACCTATGCAAACAAATGAAAAGTTATTTAAGACCAACAACGACCTATTTCACTAGTGAATTCATGAAGCTGAAATCGCGAATTCGTGAAGTTGAAATCGTGAATACGTGAATTCCGTATGTTGATAACATGAATTCACGAAGTTAGAATTGTGAATTCACGAAGATGAAATTGGGAAATCATAAAGTTGAAATGTCTCCACCGGTCTATCGTAGTTAAACGAAATTACTGTACCGTGTCTTACAAGCCTCTACAATCAAATGTGTACCATGTCTTGCGATTACAGGTACCTGCTACATCCGGTCACATTACCTATCTTGGGTATACAAAACTTCGCAAGAACAATATTAACAGGTCTTGAGGAGTCTGTAAGGATGAAGCTTTTCTTTAAAACCTGTCACCATATGCTTACATTCCAACATTATGAACTTGATTAATTGAGTTAGTTAAAAGGTTATTATTTATCTAATTAATAACAGTCCTTAATTAGCAAAATTACCTTTTATAATTAGGTAAATATAAACGGTGGGAAATAACAACATGTATCTGTCCATTGTCACCAAAGAAAAACTTTTAATAAGTAATCCGCGACACTTTATAACTATTATCATAATTTTCTAATGCGAAAACGCGCAGCGGAGTTTTCATTATGACTGAATTTGTGTATGCGATTAGCCCTTTGACTAAATTTGTGTGTAAGGTTTGCCCTGCTTTGACTGAATTTGTTTATAAGACTCACGCTGCTTTGATTGAATTTGTGCATAAAATTTGCCCTGCTTTGACTGAATTTGTGTATAAGATTTGCCATGCTTTGACTGACTTTGTGTATAGGATTTGCCCTGCTTTGACTGAATTTGTGTATAAGATTTGCCCTGCTTTGACTGAATTTGTGTATAAGATTTGCCATGCTTTGACTGAATTTGTGTATGAGATTTGCCATGCTTTGACTGAATTTGTGTATAAGATTTTCAAAGCTTTGACTGGATTTGTGTATAAGGTTGGTCTGCTTTGACTGAATTTGTGTATATATAAGGTTTGTCATGCTTTGACTGAATTTGTGAAAAACGTTTGTGATGCTTTAACTGAATGTGTGTATAAGGTTTCCCATGCTTTGACTTTCAAGACTTCAAAACATTACCTGCGTTGGCTGAATTGTGCCCTGCTTTGACTTTTGAGACTTTGTTTTTAAAACATCGAAAAAAAAAACTATGTATAAAATTTGGCAAAATTGATACTTTTCATCAGCAACAAAAAAAAAACAACAGCACGAATGTTAAACTTCTTGAAAATGCGAACAGGGATTTTGATGAACTCTCCAAAATGTGTACATAAGCGTACGTTTTATGTATACATTATCCAAGCTGCAAATAAAAAAGGGAACTAATCGGTTAGGTCATAATTCGTTGGTGTGTAAGATTTCTCTCCCATGCATTGTAATTGAACCAAGAAATCTAAAAATAACTCCAGTAATATTATGTCTATTACAGTCAGTTCCTGACAATCTTTACTCGTCTGCTCTTATCCAGTTTTGGAAGGCAAGGACAACATATAAGGTAAAAAATTTTTTTGCCGTTATTTGTTAATGAAAAATAAAATAATTCGCAATTCAATATGAACAATAACATATTTTGAAAAAATAATGCCCAAAGAATTTCTGTCCGCGACCAAAACCCCGGATAATGTGTTTGGTGTAAGCTGGAATCCACAGGTTGCCGGAAGAAATGGTCAGCAGGACGGCTGTATAGCTCTGAATGTCCGCACTACTTATTCACACATTTGTGCTTGGAAGATTGGGGTTACAAAATTTGTAAAGTCAATTTAAAGATCCAGGTAAATTACGGCAACACCGTGAATAAAACCATTAATCATTAATGGTTTTATTCACGGTGTCAACAGTGTTGACAAAAGTACATGATGTACTTTTATTTGTAGTAATTCATAGTGATATTGGGGAGCTGAATAGAATTAATACTGGTCGCTATTCTGTTTCCGTTAAATTTTTTTGTAAGTGGTATTCACATAAAATTTTATAAAATAAGATTACTCTATAGCGGCAATGATCCATAGCAAATACTAATATATGTGTATTGTACTAAGGGGTGGAATAATTTGAAATGATTTTGACAAGGGAGCTTTTACTTTCTCAAACCACATTTTAACCGTAATCAATATAAGTGACAATATAGAAGCTTCTATATGTGTACGTTTGAAAAAGGTACTGACTTCCAAACATAGCTGTAATCAACGCTTTTAGTATACCAAAAATCTTTTATCTTTTTTTATTGGTGATGTTATCCAAGCTCGTCTAGTGTTTATTAGTGTTTAAATATAACAGAATGATACACAAAATAATGAAACATTTATTGTTTTATTGAAG